TTGAACATTTTTTCATGTGTTTGGCCATCTGAATGTCCTCTTTGGTGTAGTGCCTGTTCATATCCTGTGCCCATTTTTCAATTGGATTATTTACCTTTCTTTTGTTTTGGTCTCAATCCATCTTATTAAGGGTCTTCCTGTCCTGCTCTGTGCTTCCACCCTCCTAAGTATGATGTCCCTCTCAAAGGACTGGTCCCTCCTTGCAACATGCCCAAATATGTCAGACAGAGCTTCAGAATCCTTGGCTCCAAGGATTCACCCTCTGGCCTGGTTTCACCCTCTCTAGGATCAACCTGTTTGTTCTCTTAGCAGTCCATGGCATATTCAATACTCTTCTCCATCATCACAGCTCAAAGGCATTGATCTTCTATCATCCCTAGTTATTGTCCAGCTTTTTGATGCATAGTAAGTAACTGCAAAGACTATGGCCTGGATCAGACACACCTTAGTCTCCAGAATGACACTGCTGCTCTTCAGTACAATGGAGAGGTCTCTGAAGTAGACTTTCCCAATGCAATTAGTCTTTTAACTTCTTGGCTGCTAGTACCAAAAGTGTTGATTGTGGAGCCAAGCAAACCAAAGCTGTTAATAATCTCAATCTCTTCACCATCTATCATGATGCTGCCAATTGGCCCAGTAGTGAGAATCTTTGTTTTCTTGATGCTGCACTTCAATCATATTGAGGGCTGCTGTCCTTGACCTTCTACAACAGCGCTTCAGATCCTCCTGTTTCAACAAGCAGATTTGTGTCATCTGCATAACACAGACTGTTGATTAGTGGGCTTCATTCCTCCACTCATTCAAATCACAAGACCCATTCAAGACCTTTCAAGCCATCAGTGTTGAAGGATTGTGGGATCCCACTTATAAATCATGTTTAAAATTAAAATAATATATAAGATACACTGAATAAGCTTCTGTTGTGTGCTATTAAGGCAGAATCAATTCATAGCTGACCGTCCAGAGGCAGTAAATTACCCTCAGAGAGACTGGTGGATTCAAATGGTGTACCTTTGGAACTGCAGTGCAATTTCTTACCACTAGGCCAACAGAGCTCCACGGTGAATATGCCGCTGTTATAGTTATGCGCCATGGAGTCAAACATGACTCATAGTGCCCCTATAAACAGCAGCTCTGAATCCTGCCCTATCCTGGCCAACTACACCATCTCTGAAAGACCTGTCCCCATTGTTAACAGTCACTCTGTCAATCCATCTCGTCCAGGGTCTTCCTCTCCCGCACTGTCCCTCCACCCTTCTACACATGTCCTTTGAGGACTGGTCCCTCCTGGCAATAGGCCCAACGTATGTGAGACAGAGCTTCAAAATTCTTGCCTCCAAGGAGAAAAACACTGCTTTCACTCTCTTCAGGATAGACCTATTTGTTCTATTTGCACCACAACTCAAAAGCTTCAGTTCTTCTGTTATCCTTAGTCACTGTCTAGCTCTCAAATGCATAGCAAGCAACTGAAAAGACCATGGCCTGATAAGGCACATCTCAGTCTCTAGACTGACACCATTGCTCTTCAGAACTCTGGAAAGGTCTCTGACAGTAGACTTTCTTAAACCAACTCAACTTTTGATTTCCTGATTGCTGGTGTCAAAAATGCTGATTGTGGCTATGAGCAAGATGAAATTGTTAACAATCTCAATTCTTTCTCCATCTATGATAGTGGTAAGGATCTTTGCTTTCTTGATGTTGAGATGCAATTTATATTGAAATCTGCAATCTTTGACCTTCTGCTGCAAACACTTCAAGTCCTCCTCAGTTTCGTGGAGCAAAGTTGTATCATCTGCATAATGCAGGTTGTTCCTCCAATCCTGATGCCTCATTTTTCTTCCTAAAGGCCAGCCTCCCTAATGATCTGGTCCACATATAGACTGAATAGGTATAGCAAGAGGATATGACTCTGAAGCACTTGGTTCTTGATTTGTGTTTCCATGCTCTGTTCTTATAATAGCTTCCTGGTCTAGGTTTCTCATAAACACAATCAAGTGTTCTTGGATGCCTATTCTTAATATATCTAATAAAGGCCATCAGTGCAAGGGAACACTACATGGTTTTAAATTAGGAAGGGCTGTATTCTCTTTCCATACCTATTCAATCTGTATGCTGAGCAGATCGTTGAAGAAGCTGGATTCTATGAAGAATGTGGCATCAGGATCAGAGGGAGACTCAAATAACTTACATTATGCAGGTAACACAATCTTGCTTGCTGAAAGTGAGGAAAACCTGAAGCACTTGTTGCAGAGGATCAAAGAATACACCCTTCACAGAGATTGCATCTCAATGTCAAGAAGGTGAAAAGAATGTTACCACTAGGACCAATAGGCAACATCATGACAGAGGGAGAAAAGATTGAAACTATCAACAATTTCATTTTACTTTGATCCACAATTAACACCCTTTGTACCAGCACTCAGAAAATCAGGAGATGCACTGAACTGAGAAAGTCTGCAGTTATGGACCTCTCCAAATTATTGAGGAGTAATGATGTCAATTTGAGGACTAAGCTGTGTCTGATTCAGGCCATGGACTTTCCAATCACTTGCTATGCATCTGAAAGCTGGACAATGAATAAGGATGACAAAGAATTGATCCCTTTGAGCAGTGGTGTTGGAGAAGAGTTCTGAGTGAATGTCCCATAATCTGCCAAAAGAGCAACCAGAGTGCTCTTTGGAGGCAAAGATGATGAGGCTTTGCCTCACTTACTTCAGGCATGTTGCAAGGAGGGGCTAGTTCTTAGAGAGGGACATGATGCTCAGAGAGAGGGTTGAGGAAGAGAGGAAGTCCCTCGAACAGGCAGACTGACAGTGTCTGCTGCAGTGTCAGGAGGTGTGAGGATGGCACAGGATAGGACAGGGTTCAGATCTTTAGTTCACAGGGTCACTATGGGTTGCACTCAACTCGACAGCACCTAACAATAACCACCACCACCAAAAAGAACAACAAGGTTCTTCTGGCATCCACTAATAAAAATTTTATCTTACTAGATATCAAATTCTATCACAACTCCAAATAGGCTCCCTTTCATTTAAGTTTCCCTGCTCTGTTTGTCCTAAGTAGTAATCTAATACTGCCTATCCTGCCTCTATGCAAGCCAAGGCCTGTCCACAGAAGCTACTGTTTCTTTGTAAGCAATGTCTCAGCCAATTTCTATCTGTAAATGACACAGTGTACTAGACAAAAACCAGATCAAGTGCGGGATGCGCAAACACACAGTTCTCGAGGCTGGCAACATACAGTGGTAGCAGCCACTCCTTGAGCAGCCATTACACTGGCACTGTACATAATTCAATTCTAATCTTTAGGAACTCCTGTGCTCAGTTTTATCATTCTTGATGGCTGAACCCACACTCAATCGGAATTCCACTGTGAGTAAAAACATCTCGGCTGGTACACACAACACAACAGAACACAACACCCCACACCACACCAGCCAGCCACCCAGCACTCAAAGTAAGTTGTCTCAGCATGAAATCTATTAGGAACCAATGAAAAGCTCATATAAAAACCCTGTCATGGCCCCAGGAGCCTTACTGGCAGCTCTGAACCTGGCAGGGCTCCTTCCAGCTCCTGAACTCTTCATGGCTCCCCACTGTGGTGTGGTCAGCTTCATCGTTGGCATCGAAGTCATCCTCCAGGGGCCCTTCAGGGAAGTCCCCACAGTCACTCTCTTCAATCTCAGCACTGACGTCAAACACCTGATCATTCTTCTTAAATTTGTCCATCAGGGCTGACACAGACTAAAGAGGACCAAAAAAAAAAAAAGAGTCTCAGGAGTCCTCATTTCCATAACCACTGGGTTCACCATTACTGGGACAGCCCCCCAAGCAGCCTCCCTGCCCTCAGTCCTCTCCTCTCTCAGGCCAGCATCCTCATGACAATGACCCTGAGGAAGTTTATATTGTCTAGTACAGGATGAAGCTGTACTCTTGGCAGGCACATATTGTAAAGCATGAGACAGAATCTAAATCCATTAGCAACATGTTTAACGAAAACAGTTTTCCATGGAGACCACTTATTTTTGAAGTTGCAGTAATTAGGCGGGGTGGGGGGTGGGGGGCAAGCTAAAAATACAGGCGAAAGCTAGACGCCTGACAATTTCTCAGGAAACGCTGTACCAAGGGACCTGACCCCAAAGATCAGGGAAGTCCATGAGCCTAACAGCAGCCTGAGACACTATTTTTCAGTGACTCTGGGAGGGAGGAGTTCTCCCAGAGATGGCAATGTTGCCTTACCCCAGGGAAGCAGAGCAGGAAGGATCTGAAATGTTCCTGGAACACATGTAATTGTATATTGGTCCTGACTAGAGTTCACAGCCTCTGCCCTAGCCGCTAGGCCTGTCCCCACAGATATGCAAAAGGAAATATTTTCCATACTCTTAGCAAAATAAAAATGATGCCACAGTTTTGGTTCCCATTGGGCAGAACTAATCTTGGGACATCTATCTGAAACCACAAGCTGCTACTGGAGAACCGCCCAGAGCCCTTGGGAGTCCAGAAGCTGACCATACCTCACTATGTGTCTCACTGTTCCACTTGGTGAACTGGAATCCAGCCAGCGAAGGGCAGATCTGGCGATCTTCCAAACACTGCTCCAAGTGGGCTAGAGAGGACAGAAGATCACAGAGACGCATTCCTCAATCCTTGAAAAATTACACTAGGTGGCATATTAGGGCCAAGAGGCATACAACCACTTCATTATTCTCCAGCTGAGGCTCAAATATCAAGCCAGACTGGGAGATGGCTACAAGCCAACCTCTGTATTACTAATGATTGTTCTGGGAACTTGCAGGCACGCAGACCCACACTGGAGTTAGGTTACACATTCTCATTCCAAGAGCTATAAATTACTAAAAACCCTGAAGGACAGACAATTGTTCTGAAATCAACTGTGTGTCCTATGCTATAGCCAGGAAATTAAAAAAAAAAAAAACTCTTGCTCAAACCACACTTAAGTACAACTGGAGCAACTGGCTCCAGACAACATGCCTCAGAGGAATATAGCTTTAGTTTAGAGCATATACATTTGGAAAAGAGTTTATTAGTGCAAATCAAATATACTCAGCCAAGAATTTTAAAAAATGGGAATCACACATATGCATAGGCTAGGGAGCAGAAGAACCATTTCATGGAACACAAAGCAATGATTCCATACCCCTATGCCTTGTCAGAGCATCCTAAGGATGACCCCCAGAGCTGGAGACATAGAGGCAGAATAAGAAGGCTGTTCAAATCCTTGGCCAGCCAGTCTAAGGAAGGCAACAAACAATAAGACAGTTTTCAGTAGCCACAGAGTACCCTGTGAAAACAAGTACCAGCAGGTACTAGGTACTCCTAAAGAGACCTGAGCTGGCACCCTTGGGGATTTAAACATGCAACCCAAGAGCTTAGTGAGTGAGCTGATTACACCCCATTTTCAATAAGAACTTCTCTGATGACTTCAGTGTTGAGGTAAAAACCATTGTCTGTACTTACTTTTTAAATCCGTCATTTCGACCCAACCTAAATCAGGCAACTCAAGAGGTGCTTGTGAAGAAAGTGCCGGCACCTCTGAAGGAAAGAGCAGCTCACTTCTATAGTCACAGCAGCGGAGGGTGGAGAGGAACACACCTGCTGTGCCACACTCATCAAAGGAGGCTGCAGTTTTCTGGAACATGGGGTCAGCCTGAGGTAAAAACAGAGGGAACCAAGAACAATGAACCAAGAACACGCTCATTCATTTGGGCCCTGCTCACTCACCATTATATCTATGGAATTGAACCAAAAAAGGGAGTATGTTTGTTCCCAATTGACCAGGTAAAATTCTAATTCAGTAGGTACAACATTAAAAGAATGGTTATTATGTAATCAGATTCACAGATGCACAAGTCAACAGATATTAACTAGTATCAAGTAGACACTGTGTGATCTGTGACCCCTAAAAATATGTATTGTCAATCATAACCCCTATAGTGGTTATTCTGATAAATCAACAGGGAACTGCCAGAAATTTAACCTGTGGCACAAGGGTTATCAATGCTGATGGCAGAAAGATCTTGGATTGAAAGCAGAAAATACCAGAAAGATGTTTACTTGTGTTTGTACTGATTATGCAAAGAAAGGCATTTGACTGTGTGGATCATAACTTGTTAAATTACGGCTAACATTGAAAAGATTGGGAATCCCAGAACATTTAAACTATGTTCATGGAAAACCTATGTCAAGACAGCCCAGAGGCTGCTGTCTGAATGGAATAAGGGAACACTGCACAGTTTAAAATGAAGAAAGGTATGTGGGCCTTTCTACGAAGATGGCGCCGAAAGCTAAGAAGGAAGCCCCTGCCCCTCCCAAAACTGAAGCCAAAGCAAAGGCATTAAAGGCCAAGAAGGCAGTCCTGAAGGGCATCCACAGCCAAAAAAAAAAAGAAGATCCACACGTCACCCACCTTCCGGCGACCCAAGACACTGAGACTCCTAAGGCAGCCCAAATACCCCCGGAAGAGCGCCCCCAGGAGAAACAAGCTTGACTACTATGCCATCATCAAATTTCCCCTGACCACGGAGTCAGCTATGAAGAAGATAGAAGATAACAACACACTTGTGTTCATTGTGAATGTCAAGGCCAACAAGCACCAAATTAAACAAGCTATAAAGAAGCTCTATGACACTGATGTGGCTAAGGCCAACACTTTGATTAGGCCTGATAGAGAGAAGAAGGCCTATGTTCGACTTGCTCCTGATTATGATGCTTTGGATGTTGCCAACAAAATCGGGATCATCTAAACTGAGTCCAGCGGGCTAATTCAAAATATAAATTTTTCTCACCAAAAAAAAAAAAAAGGTATGTGGCAGATCTGTATCATTTCTCCATACATATTCAATCTGTATGTTGAACAAATTGCTGGAGAAGCTGGATTCTATGAAGAAGAATGTGGCATCAGAATCAGACTCAAAAATTTGTTTTAAGCAAGTGACACAACTTTGCTTGTTTAAAGTGAAGAGGACTTGAAATACTTGCAGAAAATGAGACTACAGCCTTCAATATGATTTATATCTCAGCATCAAGAAAATAAAAATCATCAACCACTAGACCACATCATGATAGAGAAAAAAGACTGATGTTATTTATCAATGACTTTATTTTACTTGCATCCACAATCAAGAATCATAAGAGCAGTCAAAAAATAAGCCGTGTTACATTAGGAATCTGCTGTCAAGGGCCTCTCCAAAGTGCTAAAGAGTAGCATCTTACTCAGTCTCTCCCCAACCCCAAGGACAGTCCCATTCTACAACAGTGGCATCATGTAATATTTGTCCTTTTGTGACTGGGATATTTCACTCAGCATAATGTTCTCCAGAGTCAACCATTTTGAATAATATTGCATGAGTTCCTTGTTTTTTAATGCAGCATAGTATTCCATTGTGCGAATATACCACAGCTTCTCTAGCCATTCGTTTGTTGATGGGCACTTAGGTTGTTTCCAACTCCTTGCTATTGTGAACAAAGCTGCAATAAACATGGGTGTGCATATATCTGCTTGGATGTCAGCTATGGTCTCTTCAGGGTATATTCCCAGTAGTGGAATTGCTGGGTCAGATGGTATCTCTATTTGCAACTTTTTGAGAAAGCGCCATACTGCTTTCCACAGGGGTTGCACCATTTTACACTCCCACCAACAGTGAATCAGGGTTCCAGTTTCTCCACAACCTCGCCAGCATTTGTTGCTTGCTGTTCTGTTAAATTTTGCTATTTTGACTGGGGTGAAATGATATCTCATAGTTGTTTTAATTTGCATCTCTCTTAGGGCTAGGGATTTTGAGCATTTCTTCATGTGTTTGTTAGCCATCTGAATGTCGTCTTCGGTGAAGTGCCTGTTCATATCCTGTGCCCATTTTTCTATTGGATTATTTACCTTTATCTTGTTGTGGTGCTCTAAAGAGTAATTCTATGTGTTTAAAGTCTAAAGTATTTGATCCAAGTCATGGTAATTTCAATTATCTTCCATGCATCTGAGAGTCGGACAGTGAATAACAGAAGAATCATCATCGATGCATTTGAGCTACAGTGTTAGAGAAGAGTATTGACTGCCCTATGGGACTGCCAAAAGAACAAACAAGTCTGTCTTGGAGGAAGTGCAAGCAAGGCACTCCTTAAAAGCAAAGATGATAAAACTTCATGTCTCATACTTTTGGACACATTATCAGGAGGGGCCAGTCCTTAGAAAACAACATCATGCTGGGAAAGGTAGAGGGTAAGAGAATATCTTAAAAAAAAAAAAAAAGAATACCTTCAATGAGACATTGACACAGTGACTACCACAGTGGGCCTGATCATGAGGATGTCTCAAGAAAGTGCAAGGTTCACATCTGGTGGCTAAGCAGTAAGGAATTATGCTGCAACCCAATGTATGCAGTTCAAATCCACCAGCTGTTCCCTGGGAGAAACAAGGGCTCTCTCTCCCTAACTGCCAATGAGAACCCTCTATAGAGATAGAAGATCAGCTACAAGTCAGTTCCAATTCAACGATACACAACAACAATAAAGTCCTAACACACTCTCATGCCTCACAGTCCCCTCAGTCCCTCACCTCCTTTCCAGAATTGTATCATTCACAATGACTGTACTCTTTCAGAAGCTCAAGTGCCCCTTTCTAACACTGACCTCGTGTTTCCAGATTATGACTCCTTGCCATCTCTCTGACCTCCACCAGGGCCTACAATCTATCAGTTATGTCACTTTCCTCTAACTCTCCTTTTTTCCTACATAAAAACCCACAGCAATGATTATAAACACTTCCCTGCACAAGGTTTTACCTCCAATGCCCCTTTACATATGTGTCACATCTACTCAGCCAGAAAAAACTCCTCAGTTTAAAGTCAACTTTCTGCCCATTTCATGACTGCACCCACACAGCTAATGACGGTCAGGGCTGACATCTAAGCTCTAATTACTTCATCCATTCCTTTGCTCATCATAAAGGACTCCCAATACACACTTCCTCCAAATTCACTGCAAGCTGATGACCTGGTCATCAAAAGGGGAAAAAAAGGCACTGCTACAAAAGGACCTCCAGAAGGCTCTCATATGTTGTTATGTGCCTGTGACTCATAGCAATCCTATGTACAACAACTGTGAAGCCTGCCCTATCCTGCGCTAGTCTCACTGACTCTGACATACCTACTCCCATTACCCTAGTTACTTTATCAATCCATCTCCTCCCGCGCTGTTCCTCCACCCTTCCAAGCAGGATATCCTTCTCCAAGGACTGGTCCCTCCTCGCCACATGCACAAAGTATGTGTGAAATGGAGCTTCAAAATCTTAGCCACCAAAGAAAAACGTAGTTTTACACTATTGGCTCAAACAGCCATGGTACGCTTCAGTCAACCACCACCTATACTGCCCATTCCTTTCTCTTATTGCTTGCTCACTTTAGAAACTATTTCTTTTCTATATCATTAGTAAATTACTCCTTCTCTAGCCTGTTGCCATCAACAAGTAAATGTCTGTCATTTTCATTAAAAGCAAAGGAAAAAAAAATCATCTTATGCTCTTACTTCCTTATCCATTTTCTAATCCATTAATCTCCTTTTATGAGAAAACTATGAAAGAATCGTGTTTATTTAGTGTCTTTTATGAATGTGCAGAGAGGCAAGAACTTATCTAGTCCACTGCTTGTATGAGGGTAAGCTGGCCTAATATTTTTTTTTTTTAAATAACAAAAATTTCATATTTTAGCATTTCTCATAGACACACTCTCAGAAGAATACACAGATAAAATGTGTACAACACTAAATCACTGAGGGAGCTCTCATGGCCTAGTGGCAAGAAACTGCACTGCAATCCCAGAGGTACGCGGTTTGAGTCCACCAGATGCTCTGCTGGAGAAGGAGGGACAATCTCCTCCTGTACCAGTCAGATCCAATTTGACAGTACACACACAAAAAATAATAAAATAAATTTTTTAAAAAAACACTGAATCACTGAATTTAATGGAAAAGGAAAAAAAAAATCCAAAGCTATTTCTTGTTGTTATATGCCATTGAGTCACCTAGAACTCATAGCAACCCTATGTACAATAGCTCTGAACCCTGTCCTATTCTGAGCCAATCTCATTGTCTCTGACACACCTGCCGCTATTACCCTAGTCACTGTGTCAATCCATCTCATTCAAGTCTTCCTCTCTTGCATTGTCCCTCCACCTTCCCAAGCACGAGGTCCTCCATGCCCAAAGTATGTGAGCCAGAGCATCAAAATCCTTGCCTCCAGAGAGCAACTAGGTTTCACCCTCTCCACAACAGACCTGTTTGTTCTTTCAGCAGTCCATGTTATGTTCAATACTCTTCTCCAACACCACAACTTAGCTAATTGGCAGCATCATGATAGATGAAGAAGAGATTGAAATTGTTAACAATTTCAGCTTGCTTGGGTCCGCAATTAACACTCTTGGAAACAGCACCCAGTAATTCAAAAGATGAACTGGATTTGGAAAAGTCTGTTGTCAGGGACCTTGCCAGAGTGCTGAAGTGCAGATGTTAGTCTAGAGAATAAGGTGCACCTGATCCAGACCATGGTCTTTGCAATTACTTGCTAAGCATCAGAGAGCAAGACAATAAATAAGGATGACAGAAGAATTGATGTTTTTGAGGTGTAGTGCCAAACCTATCTACTAGTTAGGCCTACCTACACCATTTCTTTAAGAGGATTCCTAGTCATTTAGAGGAAATACTCTGGAGTCAGACCACCTGGTTCAAGTTCTAGTTCATTTATTACTCGTGGCATGTTGGATAATTACTTATTTCAAAGCCTGTACATCAGTTACTTGTCCAGGAAATGTCACAAGGATGTTGTGAGGATGAAATGAGTCAACACAGGTAAAAGGCCTAGAGCAGCGTGTTAGCTATCATTACTGCTGCTCTTATTAAGCAATACAATTCATCTTAGTAATTTACAATCCTTTTTATTCAGTCATTCTGAGGGACAAAGATTTATCCCCTTAGTCTTTACATAAAGCTAAAGGACAGCAACAGAGACACTAGGTGAACCCTTATACTGAAGCTTACACAAACCTGTGCTCACAGAGGAGGCTCAGTCCTCCATCAGACCCAAGGTTCTCAGTTAGTCAGAGACCACACTGAGCACAGCACCTCACCTCACACTTCCGATCTGCTTCAGAGACGTTGAGGTTGTTAATATTCTGCTCGATGGTTTTGTAGGAATGCTTCTTTTTTGGTTTAGGTGCCTTTTTGACTGTTTCCATTTCAGGAGCATTTCCATCTTTTAAAAGGAATAAAATCATGGGCTGTAGGGACTGTTAGGGTGCATGTAATTGAACCTGTTCTTATCACCTCAAATTCTTCAAAAAGTGATCATAATTTAAACATACACAATATTCTCACAGCAAAAGCACATCTCATCAGAAGCTGTGGAGAAATCTTACTATAGTGAAACCTGTAAGAGCTGGAACTAGCTGGGACTGCCTTGTTTTTCCAGGTTTTCCAAGTCTTGTCCCCTTGTCAAGGGAAAGTCTTAGTACTTTGCTGTTGCTCTGAATTAGTGGAAATGATTTTTCTTTTTCTGACAGGCTTCTGCCTTACACAGGTTTCAGCTTTTGCAGGTACTCATGACTAGAATATTCAGCTTCTAATGCAAGTGAATTTCTAAAGACCCCATCACATGCTTCCAAGTTGGTGATGTTTCTTTAACCGTGATGAAATAAAATCTAAAAAGTTTTATTAGGCCTCTCTTTTGCCAAGAAAAGAGCTGCAGAGTTTGAGTAACTTTTCAAATTATATGTCAATTTTTAAAACGTCCATGAGACAATGGCCTTCTTGTGACTTCATACCAGAGTATCCACTCAAGTATCCACCTGTCATACCCTTCAAGAAGCCTGGTTAAGTTCAAACTCCAATCTGCATACCTGCATCACGGCTCTCTTCTTCTTCTGGCACATCTTTTCCCAGTCCCCCAAGGACTCTATAGACATCAGCATGAACAGCATCTACACGCACAGCATAGATCTTGGTACTGGCATCCAGAGTGCTCGCAGCCACCTAGTTAGACATGAAGAGTTAAGTACTTATAAAGATGAATAGAAAGCTGCTTCTGTACAGACAAAACAAAGTTGTGTAAAATATTTAGTTGTGCTTAAAAGGGAAAAAAATTACAAAAATCCCAACAACAGTGGTAGGGAATAAACAGAATTAACACACAAATGTTCTTTGCATTATCAGATTGGTAAATAAAGTAGCTAAGAATGTCTTTAAAAAGGCTATCATGTATTTGCAGAATTCACTTATTGTGTGATGGTAAGTATTGCAAATAATTATCATTATTTGTTATACAAGATAGTAGGTATCTTTCTTACTTTAAAGTTGGTCAGTTCGGTATCTTTCTGCTTTAGAATCTCTGACATAAAATCAATCAGGTGTAAGCCAAAAGCATTCTTTGTAGTGATTTTCTGAAAACAGAAAATTGCAGAAAGGTTTATTATAAAAATAGAAGGGTTTATTCATGTAAATAAGCCTCCTTACTGATATATTTTGAATAGAAAAAAATTACATTTTTACCTAAGAATATCTTACTTCTTGCCTCTGATCTGAATTCCCAGAAACATCTGACAACATAGCCCCATAGATACCTTCCTTACTCTCAAGATCTAAGTGGAGGAAGGGTGCTCTGGTGGCACCATCTGCAGGGAAGTGCACTGCTAACCCAAGAGCTGTGCCTCTACAGGGGTTCACCAGTTCTGATGGAGAAAGACAGGGAATATTCTCCTGTGTGATGTAGTCTCAGAAACCCAATGGATAGATTTGGTTCCAATTTTAGAGCAATTCAGTAACAAAGCCCTATTCTAAGCTCTGCACAGGATGGGACTCAGTCACATTAAGACCAATTCTAGAACACAGTACTAAATTTCACTTCACTTTACCTAAGGCTCTAGTGGAAGCATGGCTGGGTAACTCACCAAGGTAACTTAGCTCTTATGGCTCTTTAGATACACCACTGGTTATCAATAGATGCCACCAAGTCAAACATGACTCAGAGACCCTATGAACAACAGATCTGAACCCTGTTCTATCCTGTGCCATCCTCATACTTCCTACAGTCACTATGTCAGTCCCCCTGGTTGCGGGTCTTCCTCTCCTTCACTATTCCTCCACTTTCCCAAGCATAATGTCCCTCTCTAGGGAATAGTCTCTCCTAGCAATATGCCCAAGTATGTGAGATGAAACCTTATCATCTCAGCAGGATTAGCAACAGTCCACACCCACTACCATATAACTCACAGTGACCTTGGAAGGCAGAGCAGAGCTGCCCAAACCGTTGACTAACATAGCTTTTTCCTGAAATGCAGCTAGTGAGTGCCAATGGAAATATTCTGCTTAGCAGATTTAACCACTATGCTACCAGAGCTCGTTAAAGCACTCTAAGAAACAGTAAAACCATACTGAAAAACATTAAGTCACTAGAGAATAATGCAAACCAATACAAAGAGGAAAGGAGGAAAAAAAAATTCAGTGGAGATTAAAAATGTAGCGATCATGCATCTACATTAATCATACGATTCTACATAATTACGAAGGCGGTCTTTCTCCCCTAGTCACAGTTAGATTACAAACCCTTCAATAGCAAATCAGCAGACACTCACATTTTCAGCAGACAATTTGATACAGGTGGAATAATGCTCTGTGATCTGTGTGTTCGTAAATTTGGGTGCTGTGACTGAACTATCAATACTCCTAAAGGAAAAACAAACAAAGAGGGCTTTAGTACAAATCTACAACACTGTGGCTTTTCAAATTCAAACTCACAAGGTACTGAGGACAAGCCAGGACACGGCTGCCCGTGTCATCATGGCCAACCCATGGCAACCCAGCCCACAAACACTCACCTACTGGAGGGGGAAGCTAACAAATGAGGTGAGTCTGTGCTGAACTGCAGGTCAAAGACCTTGGAGCGCCTCCGCTGCATTCGCTCTTTTTCATCGTCATTCTGAGGAAAATCTTCAAGAATCGGGTTGCCAGACATATTGAGAGGGGCCATCTTGGGTGGAAGCATTGAGGACCGCCGCTCTGAAGGTGTGGCGATACTGTTGGGGTGTCCATTGGTCTCTGAGACAGAGCTGCTCATAGTGGCTGACAGCAATAGAACAGAACACTGTTCAAGCAAGATTCAATAGAACATCTTTTAAATCTAAAAGGGCCTGTCACCAGAGTGGGATTGCTCCATAAATGTCTTTCCCAACTCTAATACACAATGACTGGAACTCTCTTACTTTGGATTTCCCGGCGGTTTTCTGTTGTTTCCTTGCTGATCTGGGACAAAAATCCATTTAGCACCCTATTGTGGATGTAAAGAGGAATTACAGAGGAGTAAAACAAAGCCGTTGCTTCTGGTGAACTCAAACTATGTACTGATAACACACACACACAGAATCCATAACGCCAGGCAAGGGAGAGACAGATGCTGAGATAAGCCGTGGTGTAGGCTAGTCCCAGCTCTGTTATAACTTGGAGGGAAACAGAAGAAAGAAAACAGATCAACATTGACTGAAAGAGAAAAACGGCTTTTACAATGAAGTCATCAATCAAGCAATCAACTGTAGCCTCATATAAAAGGAAACAACCTGACATTCAATCACCATAGTATAAAACAATAGGAAGTTCTTACCAATACTCATGAAGTATTTTTTCCCAAAAGTATCTGATTTAAAAAGTATCTAGTTTAGATCTAACTTCCAATTCCTAGAGTACAGGGATAGTGGTTAAGTGCCAACAAGTCAACAATGACTCTTAGGGACCCTATGAATAAGAGATCCGAGCCCTGTACATCCTGCGCCATCCTTAGAGAAACATATTAAGTGACACCACAGGAAACATTCCAGTAAATTCAGCAAGCAGAAGACTTTATAAGACAAGCAGCTTAACCTCTTCAAAACGTCAATTATCTCACAAAAGAGTCAGTGAAAAGAGACAGTGAAAGACAGAAAGCCCTTCAACGAGATGCAATGACAAAGTGACTGTAACAATGGCTTAAGCAGAGAGAGATGAAGAGGGTGGCACAGGACAGGGTTCAGTCCCAATCTGTTTAGTCACTATGAATTGCAATTGACTCTACAGCACCTAACAACATGATCTAATTAGTCATCCAATTGGGACAAACAAATGAATTCTCTCAATTTAGAGCTTAGGGAAAGTTTCTGCTAGGTATATTGTTGTTGTTGCTGTTATGTGCTGTCGAGTTGCTTGCGACTCAGCGACAACATCCCTAAACTCTGCTCTGTCCTGTGCCAATCGCACAGTCTCTGACACTCCCATCCTGATTATCCCAGTCACTGAATCAATCCACCTCATAGAGGGCTTTCCCCTCCTGCACTGTCCCTCCACCCTCCCAAGCATGATGTCCTTCTCCAAGGACCAGTCTCTCCTCACATGTCCAAAGTATGTTAGACGGAGCCTCAGAATCCTTGCCTCCAAGGAGCCACCCGGTTTAACCCTTTCCAGGACAAATCTATGGAGTTGGTTCTGACTCAAAGTCATGCTAACTGTACAGAACAGACTAGGACACATTGCCCAGTTCTGAGCCCAAGACCACCACAGCATGGAGAGTGGAGATTGAGTTGTGGAGTACTTCAAGAACTGCAAGGAAATAGCCAGGGAGATGAGAATGTGCATCTAGTAAGGTCAGAAAATATGGTGTCCTGAAAGCTAAGTGAAGAAAATTCTTTGAGGAAATTAAGAAGTGATGAATTATGCCAAGCACAGCATATACATGAACTGACATGAGGAAGTGATCAGGGCATTTGGCAATTCAAAGGTTACTGGTAGTATTTCCCCTTTATGAAGGTAGAACAATCAGTAATCTTGCCAAGAGCAGTCTTCACAGAATGGTAACATACAATAAACATGAAATTACTGCCATAGAAGGGGAAAGAATTAAAAGAGAAGAACACAGTGAAAAGAGAATCAATATAGAGAATTTCATATCCTCCAGATGGCTTCACACCAGCTGAAGAGTATGAGTAACAAACTTTTACTTGAGATCAAACAAACAGAAGAAAAAGGAAGGGCATCAAGGACATCTTCAGAAGCAAACCAAAGGAATGTGGGACTATTTGGGTGTAGGAAGGGAGCTCATACTTTTGGAGAAAAGAAAACAAGCAGGAAAACACCAAATAAGGAATTTCATTGACCTGAAAGGAAAACACAATTTGGGAATCAGGGTGTTCTTTTAAATCTAAATTTTCCTTGCCTGATTTCTCTCATTCCTTAGACATAATCATGATGCATTCAATAAATAGCTACTGAGCTCAAAAACACCTTCTGTCTCCACTTCCCACTCAGTTTTCTGTCCTTTTTGATGGGAACTCCTATCCTCCTCACTACACAAACACTGCTTTTATAATTACCTAAAATATCCATGTTGTCAAATGCAACTCACTTATCAGGCATCTCTCTTGAGTTTCATCAACATATAAAACAAATGACATTCCATCCTTGACACTATGCCACCTACTGACTTTTTCCACCTTCTATCAATTTTCTAAAGGCTGGTCCTGGAACTTGGCATTGCAGTAACTTTAGAGTGATTTCATCTATCCCCATGGGCTTATATGTAATTATATCCAAACATTTTTTGTTTGTTTGTAAAATCCAAATTTACTTCTTACTCCATTTCCTTGAGAGTCAAACTCTTTCCAAGGGACTGTACCTGCCATCTCTCAGGCATAGCACACTTTAAGAGGGTGGCCTGGGGACAGCCATATCTGACTTCTCCTACTAACTGCACAAGGCGGAACTGCCTCATCAACAGCAATCCACAACATTAATACCAATTCCCAATGAGGTCAGAATGTCCCCTACACTCCCCCCACCTATTTCTACTAATTCTAGCACCAATCCTCCTGCTGTACAGGATCTAAAATTCATTGCAGGAGCTATATGGACCTCATAGAAAAATACTGATGATTATGGGATTTATTAGGGAAGTTCACATGTTGTCAACAGGACATTTCTTAGTTGGGACAGCTCCTGAAGTATGTTCTCAGGCCCTTCAGCCTAACAGATTTAGACCAGCATTACAAAGCTCTCTTAGTACTGACAATTATGACACCTCCCCCCAAAGTCCTCCAGCAACTTCGGGTAAAGTCTTCACGCTCTGGCTCTGTGGGACTGTAGTCCCAGGTCAGCTTCATCACACATCAGGCCTCTGGTTCTCTGCTGTGGCTGCTCTCCTGGCTAGCACAAGAATCTCTGGCCCCAAATGATACCTTCTGCATTCTCAACTGCTGCTTCTTTTTTTTTTATAATGAGATCCCCAGATTTCTGCTGCTGAACCTGCTCAATTTAAACCTTGTAGAATGGCAAAACTAGCCAATCATCCTGTGGATAGACTAACAGATCCTATCGCCATGTTCCTGCCCAGCCATGTGACAAAGTCAAGTGCAATGGCTTAGAAAAGTCCTTTTGAGTGGACACAAAGATCAAAAAGGAAATTTCTAACCAAAAAACACAAAAACTTTCTCACCAAGCTTAGTATTAACAGGTCCTAATTTAAGCCACGCTCTTTCCTCCTTCACTTCTGCAACTGCTTCTTCTGTTTCTCAGCTTTGCTTAAAGATAGTCCTTAAAACTACTGTAAAGGAGGCCCTGCACTCTGTCATTCTCAGCATCAGTCCATAATTACTCCAATTGTATAGTGTTTCCTCTAGCAACACTATACATTCCCAAAAGACAAGGATCTCACCTACTGTGTTCTTTACATGACACTCTGGCTGAAAATTCTGCAGTTACCAATTCCAACTCATAGCAACCCTACAAGATATGAAGTTCCCAAGCCTGTAATCTTTATGGAAGCTGACTGCTGTATCTCTCTCCTACAGAGGTGGTGGCTTCTAATATCACTTTTCGGTTAGCAGGCCAGCACTACCCACTGCATCACCAGGACTCCACCACCATCAGACTACCAGCTGACTGTCCATTGGGGTCTGCTAGGGTAAATCACCTGCCTCTGGATTCGAACCACCAGACTAGCACAATTTGGGGGTTAGCAAGTAATTTGCTACTAATGCCACCAAAGCTTCCTCCTTTGGGCACGTTATATGAGGAGGTGCCAGCTGGTCCCCATGAGTTACAGTCAACTCCTGGGCACCTAGCAACTACGACTGGTTGGTTCTCACTCATGGCAACTCTCCATTGTTTCCAAGTGTTTCTTCACTAGAAGATTGCCTCTTTCCTGATGAGCAGCCAATTAATTTGAAAAGCTGACCTTTCTCCAGGTCTCTTTTTGTTTCTTGTAGTAATGTTATGTAATTTTCTTTGAAAAGATTCTTTGTGCTTCTGATTAGATTTACTCCCAAGTATTTATGTTGTGATTAGCTATAGTGAAGGGCATTGATTTTCTTAGTTCCAGCTCTGTATTCTCTTTGTCACTATAGAGAAATCCAATTGATTTTTGTATGTTGATCTTGTATCTTGCCACTTTTCTGGTCAACTATGTCCAGTAGTTTTCTTGCTGAGTCTGTAGGGTGTTCTAAGTATACTATCATCTGCATACAGAGATAATTTTACCTCCTCTTTGCCAGTTTGGATACCTCTTATTTCCTTCTCTTGCCTTATTGCTATCACTAAGACTTCCAATACCATATTGAATAGGAGAGGTGATAGTGGGCATCCTTGACTAGTTCCTATTCTCAAAGGGAATGCCTTTAATCTCTCTCCATTGAGAACAATGTTAGCTCTCAGGTTTGTATATATATATATATATATATATATACACACACACACACACACACACACTTCTATGTTGAAGAAAATTCCCCTCTAATCCTATTTTGTTGAGTGTTTTAACCAGGAAAGGGTGTTGGATTTTGTCAAAGGCCTTTTCTGCATCAATTGATAGGATCACATGGTTCTTATTCTTTGTTTTGCTTTGTTTTTTTTTGTTAATTCACATTCTTTATTCACTGTCCAACTTTTTCCCCCATTCATTCACTGTTGCACTTTTCTCCCTTCCCAACCTTCCCCCCTAGTACACTACCCTCTTGGAAAAGTAAAAGAAAAATTCTTTCATTGTTTTACAAACCCTCCCCCAGTTCCACTCCACTATGCAGCCTTTGCTCGGGACTC